TCAATAAAAATAGGTACACATTGCATACATGTGGTTAGCCTATAGGATTGGCAATTGTTACAGCATATAGCTAATTTCGTTCAAAATAAGTAAATTAATTGCTTGTTTGCAATGAAGCCATCTTGTTTGAATTTTTAACCATTGAACCATAAAATTTACATTCTTCATTCTTTGTCGTATGAAGCCACATACCGTATAAACTAGCCATAATACAGAAACATTTTTAATACCAAACCAGAAAATATTAAATTAACTCTACTCTTTCACTGTAAACAGCTAAAATAGAATTTAAAATAAAATTTTAAAACTCTTTCTTGCTCAGTCCCAAGCATCGTAGGTCGCTAGAAGCTGCCAACCTTTGGATGTTCATATCTTGAGTTCAGTGCATGCTATGAAGACAATAATGCCACCATTCGATTCAGTCAAACAAAATCAGCTAGTTCCTTACAATAGGTTTAGTCGTTATCAAAAAGCAAACAAGATTGTATATTATTAAATTACTCAACAAAAATATGTGGTTTCCCGAATGCTAGGATTTAAACATCCACATTGTTTTGACAATCAATTTGTATTTCCTGTTGAAGCTCTCGCTAAAAATTACATATTCTGAAATACCAAAATAAAAAGATATTTCACCAAAACCATAGATAGGAATTGTTTCACTGAATCAAACGGTGGTATTTTCATTCACATAGCATGCCCTGAGCCACTGAACTGACGATATCGATCGGGTTGAATTATGCGCAGACGAAAGAGTATACCTTTAACAACAAATTGCAATAACCAACATCTCTTTTGTATGCCTTTTAACTGCAAAATTTCATAAACCAACAACGGCTCTTTCGTATGCCTTTAACTACAATATTCCTCACATGTGCAGGCTAAGCACTGTCACACAATAGTGTGCATGACTTGTCATGACAACACTTTATGGTTTTCTCCATAGTGGTTAGCTGCACATGCTAACTGAATTACAATTATATTATATTAACCAATTTCTACTAATAAACTGTGTGACCATTACTTAAGTTTATTATATACATGTATTTCAAAATTACATGTATTTCAAAAATGACTTTGGCATGTTGGTTGCCCACAATTTCAAATTACTGTTTATCACTTTTCAATGTGGTACAAACGTTATATTTTCTTTAAATATAGTTAGTAGAAAGTAAAACTGAAGACGTTAAGAAGGCATTTGATGAATGTGTATGTAGATGTGAAATTGATGGCGTACCAACCATGCCACGATCAACTCTATGATCAACTCTATAATTACTTAACAAAATTTGGAATTCTTAGTGACTGTCAATTTGGTTTTCGAAAATCTCATTCCACTACTACAGCATTATTGGACTGTACCAACAAGTGGTATGTTAACTTGGACAGGAAACTATTTAACCTGGTAGTTTTGATTGATTTAAAAAAAGCATTCGACACTGTCGATCATCAAATTCTATTGAGAAAATTGGAGCTCTGTGAAATAAAAGGACAAGCTTTCACTTTACTCAAATCTTATCTAACAAATCGAAACCAAATATGCCAAGTTAAAAATGTTATTTCATCAGATAGAACAATTATATGTGGGGTACCTCAAGGCTCTATTCTAGGACCACTCTTCTTTTTGTTATATATTAACGATCTGCCTCAATGTTTAAACAAAACAAAGCCTCGACTATTTGCTGACGAGACAAATTTAACAGCTGCAGGCCAATCTATAACTGAACTTGAAAATGCAGTAAATTCTGATTTAGAAGACCTTAGGAAGTGGTTGATAGCCAATAAACTTACCTTGAACGTAGCTAAGACAGAATTTATATTGATTGGCTCAAAACCAATGATTAAAGGTACTACAGATTTTCATCTAAACATTAAAATTGACAACAAACCCATTAAACAGATTCAAGAGTGTAAAAGCCTAGGAGTAATAATTGACCAGTATTTATCTTGGAATAGTAACACTGAAAATATTTGCAAAAAGTAACAGCCGGAATCTCTGCCCTTCGGCGTTTAAAAGATTTTGCTGACAGAGAAACACTTCTCTCTATATACAATGCACTTATATACCCATATTTCAAATACTGCTGTGAAGTATGGGATGTATTTGGTGAAACACAATAAAAAAGATTGCAAAAACTTCAGAATAGAGCTGCTAGAATCATCACAAATATTGGCAATGATGTTGATCATTCTATTGCCTTACGTGAGCTAAGCTGCATGGGAACCTCTTAAGGCTGATAGGAAAAAACAAAGGCGAAAATGATGTATAAACTTTTAAATAATATGGGTCCAAATTCACTTACTAATCTGTTTTCATATAAAAGTGAATTAACAAACTATAACCTCCGGGATATTTCAAGTGGCCTTCACTTACCAAAACCACGTACAAATAATATGAAAAAAAGTTTTATGTACGATGGTGCATTCCTTTGGAATTCAATTCCAAGAGAAATTAGGGGAAGTACATCCCTTAATTTGTTTAAAAAGAAAATTGCTACCTGCATTGACATTTAAAAAGCGCAATAAAGTACGTGCATGTATATAGAGGATTTCCTGTAAATAGCCTAACTTACCTTCTTAATTTAGCTCATTGTAAATAAGTAGATTGTGTTCTTGTTAAACGTACTTTTATATAGTTATGTAAAGATATTTTGCACACGTCCCCAGTGGAAATCAGCTTAAGTTGACGGGGTCAACGTGTTTAAATAAAGTTTTTCTATTCTATCTTCTATTTCATTGTAAACAAAGGATATATTTGTTAATGAAGTCATGAAATACTTTGTGGTTATCAAATGTAAACCAATGCTAGATCAACTACTCAATGGCCCAAAGTATCACAATGTAAGTAAATCAGCTGTGTTCAGTTTGTTAATTAAGATTGAATTATTTCACATAATTGTAGCAAGTAAAATCTAGAATGTGACCCTACTTTAGAATTTTGAAATTGAGACCTGCAAAATAACAATTATTAAGATTTTGCCACTTGGCCAATGGGCATGGTTAAAAACGACAATAAAAATGGAGGATGTTAGTGTTTTGTTGTGTAGTACAAAATATATTAATTGATCGCTCTTGCAATCTCGTTCCTGAGCATGCCCGTTCGCAGGTTAAAGGTGGGCATAGCTCTGGAGAAATCGAATTGATTCAGGCCGGTGATTGGCTTGTGGCAGATAGTACGTTGGATTTCCAACTTGAGTTCTATGCATGCTATGTTGCAAAATATAAACAAAGTATTTAGAATTTCTCATTGAAAATTTGATACTTTTTACGCTGAAATTGATTGAAAACAACGAAAAATTTTGGTGGAAATATATTCAGATTGATAGCGATACAACTACCTTAAATTGACTAATTACCTATCAAAAATCTCCCCATCCAGTTGTCATTTGCATTAAAAACTGCATCATTTTCAAACGACACACTCCTCAACACGAAACGAGGACGCCTTATTGCCAGCATTGTTCTATCGCCTTCTCAGCATTCCGGCAATCTGATTGGTTTTGAGCGCCAAATACGTGAGTTTGTAAAAAATCTCCTCTTAAACTACTTCATAAATAATAAAATGCATTTTTTCCCTTTGCAGCATACATAACCTCACCATATATATATATATATATATATATATAATCTTACTTAAATTGGTTGACTGTATTTTATAAACTTTTACTTTCATATATAGTTATAACCACAGGGGTCTTAAATAATCTGGTAGGCCCCTAGCCATATTATTAATTAAGTATTAAAATTGTAAATATGTTATGATATATGGGCAAAACTAATTAAAAAAAAAAGTAATAGTATAGTAAATGTTTCACGAACTCTTGAGAGGAAAAAACATCCCTTACTAGCATGATTGTTTCAGTATTTATTCCCCACATTACAACTTGCCGACTTGGATATTGAATCAGCTATCACATTATAAACAGTTCTCTCTAAAATTGCAATAGTCACAATTTACCTTTAGTACTTGTACTTTACTAGACCAGATACTGGAGACAAATCACTGTCTTAAGCTATTTTACATGCATATTTCCCACTAACTTTGGTCAACAGTATAAATGTCGCTTTCTAAAAAAATCAGGTGAAGGATATCGTGTTATACTGTTATACACAGAAACCCAGTCTTCGGATCGAACTTGAACTCAGAGATCCCAAGGATAGTGCAATGTTTCAAGGCAGTTAAGCCTAAAGTAGCCTGTGTCGCTGGCCCGTTGGGTCAATAAAACCTAAATAAACGCTTGTTAAATTGAGCAATAAAAACTCAGCCAAAATTGGGGAAAACCTTTGTGAAAAAAATTGTTTTCCCTGTAGTGTTTAAAGCGAATTTTTATGGAATGGCATGGGGGATTGAGAATGATTGTTTTGGAGAACTTGGTCGAAGTAACTGTGAATTAGAAGTATATATTAAAAAGAGTTAAATTTAAGGACATTGGCGACAAGGATTTCATAAAACTGTACAAAGGAAAGTGAACAAGTGCTATGGGTTTTGCGGGGCTTAATTTCTCTGGAATTCAACATTTTAATCTGCACAGTGATCAGAGTTCATTGGTGGTTCAATAGAAAGTTTGGGTTCAGAGATTCAACCAATGCACGGTTGGGTTTGATATTAAACCGAAAGCATGAAAACGTGCCTTGTTGTTGTATTTGGCTGGCCCTGAAGTGGAGACCATTTCCGACGATTACGACAACGCTGTGGAAAAGCTTACTGAGTATTTCGCACCAAAACAGAATGTGTTATACAACTGTGCCATAGATTTTGCCAAGCAAAACGTGTAGACGAATCTATTGATCAGTTTCATACCCGATTGAGACATCTTGGGGCTACTTGTGATTTTGGTGATTTGGATGACGAAATTTGTATGCAGATTGTGGAGCACTGCTGATCACCTCGTTTACGAAGAAAAGCCCTTCGCGACAACACAAAACTTAGTGATTTAATTGGAAGTAAACCAACCGGAATTAAACAGCAGTGTGTCAGAACAAAGCAGTTCAAGCACAGTGAATGACATTAATCAGAGCAGAAACATAGAACTTTTTTATGACGGTGGGTGTTATCCAAAATTGTTTGAAGGAATAGGCAAACTGAAAGGCCATGAGAAGAAGATACACATAAACAAGGACATTCCACCAGTAGCTGAAACATACAGGAGAGTACCTTTTCACTTGCAAAAGCAACTTGATGAATGGATTGAAGAATATATTGAAAAAGACATAATTGAGCCTGTTGTAGACAAATGTACAGAGTGGGTTAGTGGACTTGTTGTCACACCCAAGCCAAGAAATCCAAAGGAACTTCGGGTATGTGGATATTATAGACAAGCCAATAAAGCAGTCAAGAGAAAAAGGCATCCCATTCCAACTGTTGAAGAGCTTATGGAAAACATGGATGGTGCAGTAAAATATAGTAAAGTTGATTTGAAAGCAGGCTACCACCAAATACCCCTTGACAAAAACTCACGATCGGTGACAACTTTTACAACACATCAAGGACTATTTAGATATAAGAGACTACCCTTTGGCATCAATGCAGCAAGTGAAGTTTTTCAAAATGCAATTGAAAGAGCTATCCAAGGACTAGATAGTATTAAAAACATTGCAGATTACATCATTGTCTGGGGCAATACACAACAACAACACGATCAGAGGGTAGAACAATTATTCGCAAGGCTTCAAGAGAAACACCTTACTGTCAACCCTGAAAAATGCCTGTTCAACCAGACAGAACTTTGGTTTTATGGATTGCATTTGACATCAAATGGTATCAAAGCTGATCCGAGTAAGGCCGATGCTATAAAGAATTGAGAAGTTTAATGATTATTCTTTCCTTAGATGTAAATATAGCTTTTGTTTGTAATAAAACGAGTATTGTTTAGGAATTTTTGTCTGATATGTGTTGAAACAGTCTCAAATTGTGATCATTGAGCGTATATAAACACAAAATTGCATTTTCCTCCTAAAATAAAAATCTAATAATATGAATTTTTTTTTCTGTGTTGGTGTAGTGTACTCAGGTGAATATGATATTTGTGGTGTTACTCTGAGTGTATATCCACACCGGGCGAGCTTGAAAAATATGCCCCGCCACGGTGGGATTCGAACCTACGACCTTTGGAATACTAGCCCAATGCTCTTCCAACTGAGC